GAAATGGTGTTGAAAATTTTCCGAATTTCCATTCGCTTTTCCTCTTTTATCTAAATCTCTAAATCTTTTATCTTAGGAAAAGTGAATGAAAATTGGAAAATTTTCTTCAAAATTTCCCCATTTTCCTTTACCTCTACATAACCGAAAAACAGTTGGAACGGTGAAAAACTGATCCTTCATTTCCAAGAAAAAATAGGAAAAGGTAATGAAAATTTGTACCACTCCTGTTTCCAATGGCCTTCCTCTAAACAGCTGTAAAATGGTTGGAACGGTGAAAAACCGAGTCTCCATTCACGAGATAAAAGAGGAAAAGCGAATGAAAATTCAAAAAATTTTCTACACTAATTCTTCATATTCCCTACATCAATATAGCCGGGAAAGTGTTGGAACAGTGAAAAAACGAGCATCCACTTACGAGTTTAAAGAGGAAAAGCGAATGAAAATTCGGAAAATTTTCTACACTCTATTCCCATTTCCATTTATCTCTACATAGCCGAAAGGTATTGGAACGGTAAACATCTGACCCTTCATTCATGAGATAAAAGATGAAAAGAGAATGGAAATTAGAAAAATGTTAATCGGTTAACCGACGGTATTATCATAGAAAGTGGTCCCGGAAATTAAAAGAAAATAGAAAATGTTTTATACTATTTTTTTTTTAGTCTATTTCTAATCAGAGGAAAATCGTGTGTATTTGATTTTTTGATTACGATTACGCGATTATGATTACGTGATTACGATTACAGTGATTTTGATTACTTGATTATGAATACAGTGAATTTGATTACATGATTACGATTACATTGATTTTGATTACGTGATTACACGATTGTAATCTTAATCAGGTTTATGATTACGATTGTAATCGTAATCAGGTTTATGATTACGATTGTAATCATGTAATCAAGTAATCGTTTCATACTTTTGCAATAATTATAGTGCTACTGGATCAAGTATAAAATTGGCGTGGTCATAAAGTTTTATTTTCAGTTGTAATCATGTAATCATTGATTATGATTTTGCCCATCTCTGGGCTTAGGCAATGAAAAACATCAGTAAAGTCATTTTTTTTAACAGAAAAAATTTCAAGTTGAAAATCAAGCGTCGTTTGTAATTAAACGGCCAATAATAATGCAAAACATGCTAAAATAAAACACCTGGAGAATACGTTTCTCTTTCTAAAACACTGATTACTTTTTAAAATATTTGAAGTAGTTCCGTAGAAAATGCACTTAAGCGGCAGAAAAGCGGTACTGGCGTAGGTGCCTGCAGGCCTCTACCAAACCATTCAGTATTCATAAATGACTTAGTTATAGTGATATAATAACATTTTTGGTACATTATGTTGGTTGTATTAACAAACAAATATTAATACAATAATTTAATTTTTTTAAATATTTATTATTATTATTTTTCAATTTAACTTCCTTAATTTTATACGGAGGTCGTTTAAGAAGGTCTTTATTTTAAAAATTATATAATTATAATAATAAAGCCTAATTCAAAAATACTCTGCTGAATATCTTGAATTTTTATTTAATGTTTCCAATTTAACACTTAGTTTTATATATTTACTGATTCTTAGAGGTAATTTAAATTGCATATACTTCCCCGAAATGAGTCATATTAATACCTGTTTTATAAACTAAAATAATATATACCTAATCTGAACTACATACAATGAACAAAGGTGATGATGGATTGTTTAGTAAAATTCATATATCACTATTAAAAAAATCATTTTTATTTCCTTTATTTTGTTGGGAAGTTAGACCATATCATCGGAAAATAGTAAACTTTAATATTGAATGCATTATTCTCTCTGCTAAAGAAAGATGGAAAGGGCGAATCTAGAAGTTATTCTAAGTAAGTGGAACTGATTGTTAGTATTTGTTCTCAAAATGAGGGAAAACGCGAAATTGGACCCAAACATTGGAAAAATACATCAAGCGAACGACAAAGGCAGTGCCAAAATCTCGGAAAAGAAAACAAGGATCACTATGCATTATATGGCTTAACGGATATATAGTAGACAGATGAGCAGAATATTTCAAGATGCTGCTAAAAGGAGCTCACAATGCTGGATCAGTTTGGATGATATTAAGCAGGTTTATTGTGGTGGTCTATTTTATCAGCAAGAAAGATTTGTTCTAAGCAATTGACAAGTCAGCAGGTCAGACCTGCTACTGTAACATCCTTAAATATGAAATTTCACATTCGTTCGACTTTTCGTTTTTGAACTAAACTGTTAACACACACACACACATACAGGCAATTTTGCGGGACTTGGTTATTTGGATTCAGGGGACCTCAAAACGTGTATTTCCGTTGAAAACAGATTCAAAAATGTTCACGATCGCAATACTTTCCTTTACTATATATTACATATATAGGTAAGTGCAAGTAAAAAATAAGTACATTTTAAACGGAGCTAAAGCTTACAGATAACAAGTCATTAAGACCATTATAATTACAAAATGTCTATAGGCAATAAAAATCTAGTCACTCCTTCTGCTTTTATAAACCACACAACATTCTTTGCTTTTATAAACCAGAATGACTAATTCCAATTTCAACATTTTTGAGTAATGTCATTTTAGTGATATTTTTAGTTGAAAAAGTTATCTATGCAGGCAGTGAGTAAGTTGAGGTGGTGATTGCAGTGTTGAAATATAGAACTGGAAATAAATGTATAAATTTAGGTACTTATTTCTTGTGAAAAATGTTCTTAGGAAAGATACTTTATTAAATATCTGTAGAAAATAGGTTTTTTTTAGTTTCAACAATAAAAAAGATATAAATTTATCCATATTTTCACCTCTTCAGGGAATAAAACTAGAGACCATATCTTTCCTCATATATGAACATTTGGCATTTGAGCCCTGTAAAGTGACATCAAGGGGGATAAGACTTAATTGATACTAAAGACCACTTAATTATACAATGATAAACCGAGTTTAATCAAAATCGTTCGAGCCGTTTTTTAGAAAATTATAAAAATTTGTTTCAGAGTTGATATAAAGTGGCACTTCCGGTTAGCTGTCTTAAAGGGAAAAGTTGCTACGACATCTAAGGCATATACCTATTTTAAATACCTAATATCAGTTTCTTGCGACTTTTTGTTTTTGAGCTAGACTGGTCTGCAGCTCCAGTCTGATGTAAGGCATATACCTATCTTAAATAAATTTTCAGTTTAGTACGACTACTCGTTTTCGAGCAAAAGTGTTCACAGGCACACAGACCATTTTTCGGGACTTGGTTATTTGGACTCATATAATCATATCATGGACACAAAACGTGTATTTCCGTTGAAAACTCAGATTCGTTCATTTTCAAGATCGGAATGCTCAAGTTTACTATGTATTACATGTATATCTAAGTGAAAGTAAAAATTGATGGCAGGAGCTTTGACGAAAATTTGATTTAAAAATGTTTATTTTTTTATTACAATGAAAATTCCTATTTGATTGTTTGTCGAGATGCGAAATAAGAATCTCAACTCCTTTCCTCATTTAAAAAAATATTTGAACTCACTTTGCTCCTTTGGCCGCTACAAATTGTTTTATTTCGGAGATAATTCTTTTCGATTTTGATGGGTTTTTTTCTATCATTTTGTAGGAAATCAATAAAGCTTTCAAATAATGATGGGTATAATGAAACAAAAATTGTGTACTTTTTGAGTTATTTACAAATATAGTTTTGAACCCATCGTAACATTTTGTTCATGCTCTTTTCGGGGAAGGATGTTATATACATAAATTAAAAGGGCTTCAAGGAGAAGGGCAAATCGCAAAGGAATTCATCGTGTTTCACAACGACACGTTTTAGCAACACGTACACAATTATTGGAGATTGGTTGGGAAGTGATGTCGCATCCCCCATATAGCTCCGACGTTGCACTGTCGGACTATCATTTATTTCGAAGTTTACAAAACTTTTTAAATGGTAAAAATTTCAGTAATAACGATGACCTCAAGTCGTACATGGTTGATTTGTTTGCTGATGAGGACCAGAAGTTCTATGAGCGCGGAATTATTTTAAGGAAATTAAGTCACCAGAAAGATGGAAAAAGGTCATCGAACGGAATTTAAGATATTTGACTGACTAAAGTTCACTTTTTTGTCGATAAACGATTGAGTTTTATTTCACACTAGAAAACCGAAATTACTTTCTTGCCGACCCAATATATATGTTCATATCTCAGAGACTGGAGTTATGTGGTTTACAAAAACAGATAGAGCAACAAGGTTTTTATTGCCTACCCTTGATGTAATAAATAGGAGTTTTATTATTTTAATGGTCTTAATGATTTGTTAATTTGTAGCTCCGTTAAAAATGCACTTCAAAAATTGCATGATAGTTCAACATCGCCATGAAAATAATTTCTATTAAAAGTAAAGTGCTAAGTTAAAGTTGTGTGCTGAGCGCACCATATTTTTCAAAATACTTCCGCAATCTTTGAACAAAGATTCCCCATTGAGATTTTATCAAAACTGTATGCTCCATTTTTACACCTTTACAGGGTACTAATCTTTTTTAATGATAGAGTAGGAATAAAATAATGTGTAAAATAACTATTACTATATCAATATAACTATAAATATAAAATAAATGTAATTATAATAAAAAATAAGAGATGTAAATTTAACCACAGTTGATACTGAATTGGCATATGTCAAGTGACAGAAGGGTATGTGGTGGAGGGAGTGGGGCAGTGTGACATTTAGTTGGATTTTTTTTATATGAAATTTTTTATAATTTTCTTTAAACTTAATTAATTATTGTTTGTAATGTTAGTGTTTCATGATTATTTTATGAAAAATTAAAGGTAAGCCTTTTTTTCACTGTAAGGAATGATTGAGAACTTAAAGATCAAGGAGGAATATATATTATTTAACAGTGAAGAAAATATAAATCAATATATATATATTTTTATTTTTTTTTAGTTTTGAGACGCAGTCATTGATTCAAAAATTTATTAGCTCATTAAATAAAGGAAAATGGGTGAAAGAAAAGGTACCAACAAATACTACCCTCCTGACTATAATCCTGCTGTGGGTGGGCTTAATAAATTTCTTGGAACTCATGCTTTGAGAGAGCGTGCCAGAAAACTTCACATGGGAATACTAATTATACGCTTTGAGATGCCATTCAATATCTGGTGTGAAGGATGTGGTAATCATATTGGAATGGGGGTAAGGTATGCTATTTTTATAAGTTTTATTAATCATACTCCTTTTTTTCATAATCCATATTTATTAACTATTGTTAAATCAATATTGATAGTTGTGATGATTATTTAAAATTCATTGATTTCATTTTTTAAAACGTTTGTTTAGTAAATTTGCTTCGATGGTGTTAGTTGGACTTAGAGATTATAGCCTGTGTAATCTTTCTCCATCTCTCACATAATACATATTGCTATAAAATTCAATCAAGATTAACTAAATATAGCATTTCAAAGTCAATTTCAACCTTTTCCAAGTCAAATTCAACCTTTTCCAAATCAAATTAAACTTTTTCCAAGTCAAATTCAATCTTTTTCATTTTAAATTCAACCTATTTTTATTTATTTAATAATTTTTAATTTTTCGTGATGTATGGGTCAGTTAACATATGTGTAGTTTTTGAAAATGATCTCTATTTAATCATTACGCCATTGATTTCGACTTATTTAAGTTTTTCGGATTTATTCGATAATACGGTGTATTCTTATGTTTCCGGAGCCATATATTTTGAAAATGACCTCCATTTTAAGATTCCGCCACCGTGGTTAGACTTATTTGAGTTTTTTTCGGATTTATTTAATATAAGGGTCTATTTTCATGTTTCCGGGTCCGTAGATTTTGAATATATCCTCCACTTTAAGATTTCGGCATCACGTTCCGACTTATTTAAGTTTTTCGAATTTATTTGATATAAGGGTCTACTTTTTTAAATATAAGAATACACTCTTATTTCGAATAAATCTGAAAAACTGAAATAAGTTGAAACGCTGTGGCGTAATCTTAAAATGAAGGTTATTTTCAAAAACTAATCACAGACAACATAATACTAGACCGTAATAAATCCGAATAGATACAATAATTCGATATCCATAAGTGTAACATAAAATCGATATTTTGTAAAACTCTACTTAGGGGAGTATAATAATAGACCTTCATATTGGTGGGCCGGAAGGGGGGGAATGGCTCTTAATCAGAGATGGGCAAAATCGTAATAAACGATTACATGATTACAACTGAAAATAAAACTTAATGACCTCCTCAATTTTATACTTGATACAATAGCACTATAAATATATCACAAGTATGAAACGATTACCTGATTACAATCAAAATCACTGTAATCGTAATCGCGTAATCAAAATCACTGTAATCGGAATACAAAAAATCAAATACTTACGATTTTCCTCTGTTTAGAGATAGGCTCAAAGGAAAACATTTCCTATTTTCTTTTAGCTATTGGAAGCACTTTCTATTATAACAACGTTGGTTTAACATTTAACATTTTCCGAATTTTCATTCGTTTTTCCTCTTTTATCTCGCGAATGAAGGGTCATTTTTTTACCGTTCCAACAGTTTTCTGACTATGTAGAGGTAGATAGGGAAATATTGTAGAAACGTTTCAGAATTTTCATACGCTTTTCCTTTTTATTTCGTGAATGAATGCTCGGTTTTCTCCGTTCCATCCAGTTTTTAGCTGTATACAGGCAGCACAATGGAAAAAAAGAGTGGTAACAATTTTTCGAATTTTCATTTGCTTTTCCTCTTTTATCTCGGAAATGAAGGATCAGATTTTCACCATTCCAACAGTATTCTGGCTATGTAGAGGTACACGAAAACAGAAAAAAAAGGATATAAAAAAATTCTGATTTTCTTTCGCTTTACCTATTTTACCTCGGGAATGAAGGATCAGTTTTTTATCGTTTCAATCATTTTATAACTACTTAGAGGAATGTCAATGGAAACAGAAGTCGTAAAAAAATTTCCAAATTTTCATTAGCTTTTCTTGTTTTATCTCGGAAATGAAGGATCAAATTTTTACTGTTCCGACTATGTACAGCTGGCGAAAATGGAGAAATGGTGTGGACAATTTTCAGAATTTACTTTTGCTTTTATTATCTCTGGAATGAAGGATCGATTTTATGGATTACAATTGCAATAATTAACTAACCAGCTATGAAAAGGTAGGCAAAAATAGGAAAATGGTGTAGACATTTTTCCGAATATGCTTTCACTTTTCCTGTTTTATCTCGGAAATGAAGGATCAGTTTTTTACCGTTCCAAGAATTTTCCGGCATTGTAAATGTAGGAGAAAATGGACAAACGGTGTAAAAAATTTCCCAATTTCCATACACTTTATCTCTTTTAACTCGTAAATGGAGTGTCGGTTTTTCACCGTCGCAACCATTTTATCACTGTGTAGATACAGGCCAATGGATACAGAAGTGGTAAAACTTTTTCAAATTTTCATTCCTTTTTCCTCTTTTATTTCAGGAATAAAGGATCACCTTTTCGCCGTTTCAACAGTTTTTCGACTATGTAGATGAGAGGAAAGCTGCGATAAATTCGGAAAAATTTTCAACATAAATTCTCCATTTTCGCCTATATCTATATAGTTGGAAAACTGTTTGAACGGTGAAAAATCGAGCATTCATACTCGAGATAAAAGAGGAAAATTCGCAAAATTTGTATCACCAATGATCTATTTCTAAACAGTTGGATTTCTAAACAATCTATTTAAATTGTTGGATCAGTAGAAAACCGAGTATCTATTCTCGAGTTAAAAGAGGAAAAGGGTATAAAAAATCGGAAAATTGACTATTATTATGCCATTTTCCCATTTTTACTTAGCTCTATATAGTCGGATAACAGTTGGAACGGTGAATAATCGAGCATCCATTCACGAGTTAAAAGAGGAAAAGCAAATGAAAATTAAAAAAATTGTCTACACCATTTCCCCATTCCCCCCTACATCTACATAGTCGGAAAACAGACAGGTACGGTGAAAAGCAAGCATTCGTTCACGAGATAAAAGAGGATAGGCTAATGCAAATTTGAAAAATAAGTACTAATCCTGTTTCCATTGACCTCCTATAAACAGATATAAAATTCTTGGAACGGTGAAAAACTGATTATCCATTCAGAAGATAAAAGAAGAAAAGTGAATGGAAATTAGGAAATTGTTAAATGTTAAACCGGCGGTTTTATCATTGAAAGTGCTCCCGACAGCTAAAAGAAAATAGAAAATACTTAATACTCGTTTTCCTTTTAGTCTACCCATAAACAGAGGAAAATCATGTGTGTTTGATTTTTTGATTACGATTACAGTGATTATAATTACATATATTATAATTACAATTACATGATTACGCGATTATAATCAAAATCAAAAATCTTTTTGATCATAATCGTAATCATAATCGTTGATTATGATTATACCCATCTATGCTCTTATTTTAAAAACGTCTGCCAAGTAAGTTCAGTATAGCTTCCTCACTGTTATCATTGTATATTACATTTTCATTGTACACAATTTTTCGTATGAAAATAAAATATTTGGGAGAAGCCGATTCGGAAATATAGTTGAAAATATACCTATATCTATATAATATATCTATATAATATATATAGGTATATATAGGAAATATATCGGAAATATACCCTTCAACATTCAACAAAAGAGTGCCGTATTTAAAAATTCCATATTTGATTATCCTTAATAAAAAAAAACGCTGCAAATTATTTCACAATGGTTTATTATTTCCAAACAACTATACATCTAAAGTAGCATTACCTTCCTAGTTACAAAGAAAAATAAATAAAAGGTAATCCCAATTATTGGACTAAACTTTTTTTGGTTTATTATTCTAAATAATCAACCATTGTGATCGACCAAGAAATTCAAAAACTTAACCTCCTCTCAAAATTTGATGTTTCACATTTCAGGATGCATAGAATTCGAAAAACGAATAAAAATTTTTTTGTCCGTCACGCATTTTCTCCGAAACTACTGGATCTATTTTTTCAAATTTGGATATAAAATCAGAGGTCATCCGGGGATGATCCTCCTTCATCGACATTATTATCCGCCTTTTAATTTTAAAATGGCGGCCGAAAAACCTGCGTTGCTATAGACTGTAGCGCCTAAACGAATGTAACGATTTCAATGAAACTTCGCTAAAGTCATTTTCTCTACGCCCTTTAAATTTATCTATATAACATACTTCAACGAAAAGAAGCTGGAAAAAAGTTACGAGTGATGGTAAAATTTAATTCCGAATAACTCAAAAAGTATACACTTTTTTGGGGATGTTGTGATAAGATATTTCAAAGGTATTTAAATTTCCCCGAAATCAAAGTCCTAATGTGTCAATTTTATTGAATTCTGTCTACTACTTTCTCTTATATGTGCGCTACTACTATACTACGCGCGTTGCTATAGACTGTAGCACCTAAACGAATTTACCGATTTCAATGAAACTTCGCTAAAGTCATTTTCTCGACGCCCTTTAAATTTATCTATACAACATACTTCAACGTAAACAACCTGGAAAAAAAGTCACGAGGGATGGTAAAATTAAATTCCGAATAAATTAAAAAGTATGCACTTTTTGTGAATATTGTATATGGTTTTTTAAAAGTTTAGGAAAATTTCTAAAAATAAAAAAAAAACGTTAAAATCGGACAATTAGGAGCAAAGATATGGTCTCCGGGTTTTTTTAAATTATGTTCTACTCCAAATGTTATATCCTTTGTTTGATTTTAAATTTTGAATGTATTACTGAAGTAATGCCATTTTTTTTAGCATATTACTAATAATTAAAAACAAAAAGTTTAGTCCAATAATTGGAATCACCTTTTATTTATTTTTCTTTGTAACTGGAAGGTTATGTTACTTACTTTAGATGTATAATTGTTTGGAAATAATAAACCATTGTGGAATAATGGAAAGATTTTCATGAGGATAAACGCCCCCACCCCAGCCCAAAAGGCTGCGGGCATCATGTAAACTATTACCGTAATATGCTAAAAAAAATGGCATTACTTCAGTAACACATTCAAAATTTAAAAACCAAACAAAGGATATAACATTTAGAGTAGAATATATATTAAAAAAAAACTGGCGACCATATCTTCGCTCTTAATTGTCCGATTTTAACGATTTCTTTTTTTATTTTTTAGGAAATACCATAAACTTTTAAAAAGCCATATACAATATCGACAAAAAAGATTTAAACAATTTATAAAAATCGCGATATCTCTACTAATAGTGCTGTGATTTCGATGAAATTTCCTTCATTTTGTAGGATATTTAAATACCTTTGAAACATCTTACCACAATATCTACAAAAAGTGTATAATTTTTAAGTTATTCGTAACTTTTTTTCCAGGTTGTTTTCGTTGAACTATGTTATGTAGATAAATTTAAAGGACGTCGAGAAAATGACTTTAGCGAAGTTTCATTGAAATCGGTACATTCCTTTAGGCGCTACAGTCTATAGCAACGCGCGTAGTATAGCACTAGCGCATATATAAGAGAAAGTAGTTGACAGAATTCAATAAAATTGACACTACATTATTTTTTCACCGATATCTACCTCTTTTCTAACTTTGAGCCAAATCGAACGAGCCCTTTCTGAAATATTGGCATATCTAAAAAAATACGTTTGCTCCTGCGTAAGCGGAAGTGCTGGATGGAATTTGATAAAATTGATATGGGACCATCTAGGCAACAATCCGCATAATCCCTGAGAATTTCATGAAAATCGGATAAACAGTACTAGGTGATATGCCCGTCACATCGATTTGACTAGACAGACACGGAAACAAATTTGATCCTTGATGTCTGAAACGTAAAACGCGAGTGGAAATTTTCGGTTCTGAGCACAATTTTTTTTTTCTATCTCTCGCACAAACACAATACTTCCCTACCTTCGGTAGTGAGGAAGTAAAAAAAACATTAAAAAATTACAAAAATTCGAAACATTAATTTGAAATTGAAACGGTTGAATTTGAATTGGAAAAGGTTTATTTTGAAATGCAAATGGTTGAATTTGACTTGGAAAAAGTTTAATTTGATTTGAAAAAGGTTGAATTTGACTTGGAAAAGGTTGAATTTGACTTGAAAAAAATTGAATATGACATGGAAATGTAGTGAAAAAATCTAAAAAGTTAAAATAAATGGATATGCAACCGCGTTATCATATTTTTTTTGTATTTTTTAAAAGCTATGCTTTCGTTAATATAGTAAATGGTTCATTTCGAAAATTGACAAAAATTCGAAAGTTGAATTTGGAATGGAAAAAGTTGAATTTTACTTTCAAAGGTTGAATTTGAAATGGAAAAGGTTTAATTTGACTTGGAAAAGGTTGAAATTGACTTGGAAATGCTATAAAAAAAAGTGAACAAGTTCAATGGCAAAGTATGATAGAGGCTTGAAACATGGGTCTAATCTGTCCTATTCCAAAGAACGGTTCCATGATTGTTGTTCAGGAATCTATCCCTGAACAGCAAAAACAAAAATATATATTTTAATTGGCTTTTATATTTCAATTCATTCCTACTCTGTCAATTGACAGAAATGTTGCCGTATTAAAACATATGTTTTAATTGACTTCCATATTTCAATCTATTCCTACTCAATCAAGTGACAGAAAAGTTGTGCCACATTTTCATCTGAGACTACAAACTAAATATGAAGTTTTAAAGACCAAGTCAAACAACCTGGTGGAGCAAGGATGGCAGAAACGAGCCCAGTAACAGCATAACCATCCAGAACACCAAGGGAGTCGACAAAATTTCAATAAAATTCTCAGCCTAATTTACGCCTAAAGCAATAAAGAAAGGGCATCAACTAAGCAGTCCATAAGACCCTATTTGTATTTATCTATCATTTATTCATAATTTAGTTCATTTAAAATGTATCGAAGTGCACAAATCTTTATTTTTTTTTTTAATTCCTTATTTTCAATATAAATGTTTTTTATTTCACAAATGTTTAATTTCAGTGGAAGATCCAACCCATTTACAGTCCACTCCAAATTCAAACTTGATCCAGCCTAAAATACACTTATGAGTGGGATCTATGGGTAATATTTGGCTCTAGTATATTAACAAGTGTATTAATTACAGAGGCATAGCACAGCTTGAAGCCAATATATATGATCATTTTTTTAAATATTCAGGTCTGTCTTCTATATTCTCAGTAATAGACTTCTATATTCTTACATAAAAGAGGGAATTATAAACCAAGTCTTAGAGACAAACAAAAAGATCTTGGGGAGTACTATAATGGATTAGTATAAGTTCAAGGTTAGCTGTGCCTTATTGCATAACTATTTAACGGAAGGAGTATTTCCCAGTAGAACCAGCTAATCACTTATTAAGTAAATTATTACTTAAACAGTCTCGATAAAGTATGTAGAAACAGAACTTTTATATCTACTTTTTTCTTAGGTATTCTTTTCATGTTTTACTCATTGAAAAAAATAGAATGAAGTTTTCTTGTAAGATAAGCTTTATGAGGAAAAATATTTTGTTTTATACATTTTATAATAGAAGTATAATTTTTTTGTTACTCTTTTATGAGTGAATTATTACTATCTAATAGTTTGACTAATAGTTAATGAAAGTGGATTTCACTATTTTAATTTTTTATTTTTTTTGTTATTTTATCATTTTTCAGATATAATGCAGAAAAAAAGAAAATTGGGATGTATTACACCACACCTGTTTACCAATTTCGTATGAAATGCCACCTATGTGATAACCATTTCGAAATTAAAACTGATCCTGGGGTAGGAATTTTTCTTGTTATTTTTATAAATTGTGTTATTAATGTTGATTTAAAGATAGTTGATAGATTGATTACATTGTTTTAGAACTTAGAATACATTATAGTTAGTGGTGCTCGGCGACAAGAAAATCGATGGGATCCAACCGAAAATGGTCAGGTTGTAGCAGATGATAAAGAAACTGTAAAAAGACTTTATGATGATGCTATGTTTAAGCTTGAGCACAATTCTAGTGATAAGCAAAAATCAAAAAAAGCTTCAGCTATGATCGATAGATTAGTGCTTAGAAATGACTCTAAATGGAAAGATGATTTCTCAGCAAATTGTGAGCTTCGAGCACAGTTAAGGGTAATATAAATGCACTACTTATTGTATATATATCTTACTTATTGACTTTTTCATGGATTTGAATTTTGATTGAATTGAATGGATATTGTGATAATTTATTCCTTTATTTTATACTTAGATAGTGGTCTCTCATAATTGGCCTTTAGTCTCAAAGTTCTAGTTAAATCCAATGGAACGAAAATTAAATAAAACATAATGATAAGAATTTTTCTTTTGCTTAAAATTAAAGATAACTGTCCACAAAATTATTTATAGAAAAAAAATTATCAAATAAATAACATAATAAATATGTAAGTCACAACTATTTATTTGACAAACTTGATTTAACTTCTGAAACTCCTTTTGATTTAAAGCTGAAGCTCGAGCAAAGGGCCCCAACGAACAACCTCCATCCATCTCTCTCTTCGGTCAGAGTCTTCATCTTACTCTTATTGTTTCCTGCCAGCTCCGCCTCATTCAGCATGGATCTCTTACATCTGATGTGAGATCATACTTTTCGGCGTGCTCCTTGTGGGGTTCTAATCAAGTGACAATCTTTCCACTGCTCCAGGCTGTTTTCAGAATGTATGGTCAATCCAATTCCACTACCTTCTTATATCTTGCACAATCGCCCTCTGTACTTAAGTTCTAAAAGCAATATTTGAGACATTTTCAGGTCATCTAATGTTGTAGATTCAGCAGAAATAACAATTGGTAATAACAGCTTCCTGGTGACACTTCCTGTGACTTCACTTTGGTTGCATACAGCCTTAGTTTCATATGTACTTGTACACTTCTGTTTCTCTCAAAGGGAATAGAGCTGGATGAACGCAGTATTTTCTTCCTTCAGTAGTAAGGACTCTTTCAGAAAGACTTGAACTCTTCCAGTAGTTTCCTCATCATACTTTTTTTGGGGGGAGGAGGGGTCCTCCCCTTCCTCGCCGTTAAGGCTATACGGGGTTTTCCGGGCGAGAGGGTGTGGGCAGGGATTTAAAAGATGCCTTGGCACCGGTACGCGAACTCGTGACTATTTTTATATCATTTATTATATATCAGGTTGCCGGGCAACGGTGGTTGCTCATCAAATTGAAGATCGTTAAACACTCAGGTTAATCTGCATCTCCTTTGTCTTCATTATGTTTATTGAAAGGCCGCCCTCTCCTGCTTCCTCCGAGTTTTTGGATTTTAGCCTTTATGTCCGAGAACCTCTGAGCCATCATGCAGATATCAACTGCAAACTCTTAAGTCCTCCAGTCTCTGACTTAATGTCCGCTGGATTCCCTGCTTTCGTCGATCCAGTTCACTTCTAATTATAGAATCGAGCACATTCTCTCTCCTTAATACTTTAAGAAGGATGGACTCATATATTAGTCAAGAGAGAATCTGGCCCAGGTGAAGGTGGACTCAGTTATATGAATAGAGACAGAATCGGACCTAACGATCTTAGATATATGAGTCGAGAGTCTGTTGAGCTCTTTCTCGTTCTAATATCTCAGGAGGATAAAGAAGAAAGCATGGGATAGCAAGGCACTTAATGAAGTAGATATAGTCTTTAATGAGGGTTGGAAGCCCTTGAATCCTAAGCATGATGTACTGACAACCAGCAGAGGATGATTCTCTATAGAGGGGGAAATAGCTCTGGATATATTTGCTGATTACTTCTGTGCACTGTTAAACAGAGGGACATAAGCAATTGCCCGGAGGAATAATACTTAATGGATGTTTCTGAGTGTTCTGACTACACTGTCAATTTAATTTGACTGGAAAGATCTTAAAAACATTGGTTTGTGATATCAGTTACCATTCCATGTGTAATTTTGAGACATAAAAGAGCTGGCTGGAGAATATACAATTTTTCTTCCAAACGATGCTAATTCACAAAAATTATGCATGACGAATATTACCATTATTTTAATTAGTATTGTTCAATTAACCTTATCGATGATAATTGCAAAGTAATAGTTTTGGGACATTTATTTGGGTTTAAGGTTTCACATCTGTCCGACATTTGGTTAGATCAGGAATATCTTTATATTTTTTATGGAAACGTAATTAGTGTTAACATAACAAATGTTACTACTATTTGTGTAAATGTCTTCTTCTTCATGCCATTACTAGCGCCGAGGAGCCTCTATACAATGCAGCCATGCCTCTTGGTCCCTACTAAGCCGCCTCATTTTCTGGAGGGATTTGCCTTTATTCTCTCCAATCCGCTGCATATACTCCTGATAGGAAATTCTGAGGCAGCTCCTCAGCCTCCTCCCAGTGGGCCAAGCTTCCAGAATCTTTCGTGGATCTCTCTCCTCCATTTGACAAATGTGGCCAAACCACTTCAACTGTAGGTTTTCCAGTAATGTCCTTAGCTCCAACACCTCCAGGTCCTCTCTTATACGTTCATTTCTGGCGCGGTCTCTCCTGGTCTTTCCAGCAGCTCTCCACAGAAACTTCATTTCGGCTACTGTCACACAGCTAACTTGCTTGTCCAGCACCGACTTGTATATGTGCTTTTTGTTTCCTTGCCAACTTCCTTGTGTCCTACTATACTGTTGATAGGGTAATAGATCTGGTTGGCTTTGGATATCCTATTCGCTACTTTTGGGTCAATCTTCCTCGTGTTGCTGATAATTGTCCTCAAATAGGTGAATTCTTGCACATCTTTCAGTATCTCCCTGTAACAGATCAGCTGGACGTCTTCTTGTTCATCTCTTGATATGACTAGAACTTTGCTTTTGGAGCTATTGATAACATTCTACAAGAGCCTGCTACATCGTGTCTTTCATATCCGCAATCAGAAGAATGTCATCGGCATATAGTAGGCTTTGGACTATAATATTCCATAGGTTCCACTTTCCGACGACCATCCAAGCAGTAAGACGTTTATAAATTTTATGAATTTATCCATAAATATGATGAACAAGAGGGACTTAGGCTGTCTCCCTGTCTAACTCTTTCCATGGGAAAAGGCTAGGGGACTCTTTACCATTAATCCTTATAAGTAAATTTAATATCATTTATTTTAAATGTTCCTTCTACGAATTGGTCATACCAGTTTCATTATTATGAGACTTCAGAAAACAGAAGGATTTTAGTAGTTTTTATTATAGACATTGTTTTTCCTTTTTTTTTTTTTTTTTTTTTTTTTTCTCATGTTGATTTGAAATATTTATGGTTAGTTTTATCTTTATTATATTCATAGACATTATATCTTTGTAATATAATAATATAGTGCGTTTATTTAAACAGGATGAATTATTTGTTTCAGTATTCTATGTAACTAGATTTTGTTATTTGAGGCTATTTTTATCTTTTTAAAAATCTATGAAGTAACTATTAACTCGGTAATTTTTCAAGAAAACTTTTTTAATTTTAATAAAAAACTTACATGTTTTCTGTAAATCCATTGTACATTTTATGAATGTTACCACGAAAAGTTTCTATAAAATGTAAATGATGAAAAGATTGAAATCAATTTAGGTATTAAGCAGGAAGTCGTATTATTCTAGATTATATTTATCTATTTTAGAAATTTATAACTTTCTAAGTGATTTTCTAAGCTCGAAGATGACTACTAAGAATCATTTTACTCTTTACAACCTTTTCTTTCTGCAGCAAAACTGAACAAAATCCTATTTTCAAAATTAAAAAAAAAAATACTAATATTAAGAAAACTGACAATTGAAGTTTGTTATCTAGCACATCTATACTAATATTTGAGATTGTTTTTTCTTGTTAAAGTTTATATTTTTTTAACACAAACAGCTTTATCAAGAAATGCTAAACGATCAAATAATATAAGAATGACCCGGCTATGTGCTTCCTTGTTTTGAGTTCAACTTTGTTCTTTTCTTTTTTTTCATTCCAGCGGCCTCTCTGGAGCAACTCATCTTCTCAGAGAAAAGTTGGTTAATGCCACAATTCCCACTCATTAATAAAAAATATGTTTTATTTTATTCTAGAGAAATGTTCATTGATATCCATAAACGATCTTAAGGTTTTCCTAAGTTTTGCAGACCTCAACAGCATCTCCTTATTGCAGTTGAAAGTTAGAAAATGGAGACAGAATAACTAACTTCAATTTGAACATTTTGGAGTAAAGTCTTTTTAATGATATTTCTAGTTGGAAAAGTTATCTATACAGACAGTGAGTAATTTGATTCCAGAATAGGTGATTGCAGTGTTGAATATATAACTGTTAATAAAAGCATGAATTTTCCTGCTAGAAATATCACTAAAATTAATAATAAAAGATGTTGAAATTGGAGTTAGTCATTCTTTGAACTGAAATGCTCAAATAAGGGCATTGCTGCTCACAATTTTTTTAATATACATTTTGTTGAATAGAATAAGAAGGCCTTAGATAGTCGCCCCTGGGCAATGAAGTCATTTCTCCCTCCAAAAAATTAGTTTTTTCCTGAATTGTTTAATAGTAAGTAATATTTAAATTATATTTCATTCAATATGTCTCTAATTCAGTTGCTTTGTTAATAGGCTAAAATTAATGGTACTTGTCAGATAACCGGGCAGGACTGACTGCTATCTGCCAATGTTTATAACCTGAACACTGATAATTCCTATCTTCGTATTCATGTTTATTGTATTATATTCATATTATTGAAATTGTAAACAAAAACAAATGTAATAATAAAAAATATAGTCCGCACAACACACAACTTTCACTTATCTCTCAACTTTGAATAGAAATTATTTTCTGGCCATGTTGAGCTATTATAAAATTTTCGAATTTTATTTTTAACTAAGCTAATGCTAAAAAATGACAGCTATCAAATTATAAATACCATTAAAATAACAAAAGTTCTATATATTATATCACCGGTTGATTATGGATTGCACGATCTGTTGATTATTGATTGTACGACTATTAGTTATTAAACTGTTATTTTTCATTGCAAAGTTTACTAAAACGGAATTAAGAGATTTGCATTGTCTGTCATAGACAAGTCAAATGTTGTCAAACTAATTGTAATTGGATACTGTTGGAATATCACAAAAAGAAATTTCATCAAACTATTCACTAATTTAATTTTCTAAAACGGAGTTGAGCTAAGGGGCTCCACTAAACCATCGAATTCCTCTCGCATCCAATCCTTACAATCCAAAATCCTTCTTAAAATCCTCAATGCTCCTTACTTTGTCACTAATAAAATTATCCATAAAGATCTTAATGTTCCTTATGTTTCAGATCTGGCCCAATCCAGATACCTATCCTTTCATAATAAACTTCAGAATCATCCCAATCCTCTCGTTTCTAACCTTGCTTCCTCTTCAATTCCTGATAACCCTCCGAGGCGTCTGAAAAGAAGATGGCCCCGTGATCTCCTAATGTAGTCATATCATTAGAGTGCTACCATTGGGTAGTTACTCAGCAAGTGTATTCATGTCATTATATCAATTATGTCCAAATTTACTTGATGTATTTATGTAATACAGTTGTAAATGTCATAAAGATAAAAAAAAAATAAAAAAAATTCTAAAAGTTTACTTGACGATTTTTTGTAATAAACGGACGCTATATGCTTAAATATTTAAATATAATATTTCAGATCTTGAGTTATTAAACTACAGTAAATATATTTAAGGTTATAAACGTATTTATGAAATATGCTTATATTTCACATCTTCTTTCACACAAGTACAATGAAATAGTAGTGGATACTGTTGGAGTATCACAAATGGAAGATTCATTAAATTATTCACTAATTTAATTTTCTAGAAGTTAAATGACAATATCTCAGAATAAATGGGCGTTGATACCTAATTATTTAAATATAATATCAGATTTAAGGTTATAAACATATGCTTTATACATCTATGAAATGATTTTATATTTTACTTCTTCTTTCACACAAGTACCATGAAATAGTTTTTTAAACAATATCATTGTCTTGATTAAGTGGATTTTAAATACTTTTTTCAAACTTTAAAAATACTTTAAAAGTTTACTACATTTAGTAAGTAAATTTCATTTAATTTCCTTTAAAACATGTGATTTACATTAAATAACATTATTTTTCAAAAATTATTATTTATAACTTTTTTGCCACTCTCCGTTACCTTCTACAACTTTCTATAATAGGTATGGTTCTATCTGAAATTCTCTGTTTTCCAATGATATACACTGACAGGCAAAAAATTCCACCCAATTGATTTTTTCATGTTTTCATCTAAAAATATTTCTGCTTTGGATTGGTCTATAGTTTTTAATGAATAAATAGGTAATCTTTTTGTTTGTTTTCAATTAGGAATGTTAATATAGAGGACAATAACCCTTAAATATCCTCAATAATCCTTAATTCAATGAAATGATTCTAGATTCCAATGTTTACTTTCTATGAAATCAAAATGTTTATTCAGTATCATTAGTTCAGTGCCGTTTCTTGCAGCACCTCTCTTAGTCTCTGGCTTTTAATTTTTTCAATATTATGCCATCGGAGTTCCATATGAAACTTTACGAGACGCCATCAGGCGTTTTCGGGAAACTGGTTCTTACAATAAAAGGCCCGGTTCTGGACGGCCTAGGGTAACAGAACCACGGGATGACTGATTTTTGACTTTGAGAATTTTATGAAACCGGCACCTTACCGTTGTTGAAGTGCTGTACATTGGAGTGTACATTTTACAGATGAGTCAAGATTCGCTCTTCGATCTCCAGACGGGCGTGAAAGGGTGTGGAGAAGAAGAAACGAAAGATATGCAGCCTGTAATTTTTCCCAGAGCCAACCTTTCCAACGTGGTTCATTAATGGTGTGGGCTGGGATTTCAATGGAGCGCCGCACAGAATTGGTTATTGTTCGTGGAGGGTCTTTGACAGCCATTGGCTATGTAGATGAGATTTTGGAACCTCATGTGTTGCCTATCCTCAACGATATCGGCGATCGTTCTATTCTGATGCACGATAATGCACGCCCACATGTCGCCCGCATTGTGCTGACGTTCCTTCAACAGAACAATATTGAGGTTTTAGCCTGGCCAGCACGTTCTCCAGATTTGAACCCCATTGAGCATTTATGGAATAACCTCGGAAGACGAATAAGAGTGCGAGCAACACTTCCTGATACACTGCAGGACCTTGAAAGGGCTCTTAGGGAGGAATGGGCTATCCTCCAGCAAAGGGACATTTCCCGACTGGTGGAAAGTATGCCGAGGCGTCTTCAAGAAGTAGTGAAGGCAAGAGGAGGAAACACGCGCTACTAAACGATGATATAATTAATTTCTTTTAGAATAATAATGGTTCGTTTTTCAATTTTTTTTTCTCTAATCTTTCTTACCCAATCACATTTTGATTATTAAAGGTAAAAAAGTTTATAAAATTCCATAAATACTAAGTATTATCTACAAATACCGTGTACTATATACAAATACAACTTTTTTTTACAAGTGGGTAAAATATTTTTACATAAAAACATGAAAAAATCAAGTGGGTGGAATTTTTTGCCTGTATTATACATATACCTTCTGACTAGTATTTCCGGAGATTCATTTTCGATCTAGATAAGCATTTTTATTTTTTTCTCCACTATTAACTTATCAAATTCTTTCAAAAGTTATATCTAGCATTTTTTCGTTACTCTAAATAATGTGAGATGATTAACTTTTTAAAATTAACCATATTGAAGGTACTTTAGAGGAAGAGGCATATGAACATTAGGCATTTAAGCCCTGTAAAGTGACATCAATGGCGTTTAATCAAAATCGTTAGAGCCATTTTGAGAAAATTATAAAAATGTGTTTCACCGTTGTGTTTCATCTTCATGACACTTCCAGTTAGCCGATTTTAAGGGAAAACTTGCTGTCACATCTAAGGCATATACCTATCTTAAATACGTGATATCAGTTTCATATGACTTTTCATTTTTGAGCTAGACTGCTAACATACACACACACAGATCATTTTTCGGGACTTGGTTATTTGGACTAAGGGTACCCCAAAACGTATATTTCCGTTGTAAACTCAGATTCAAAAATTTTCATGATCGCAATACTTACCATTACTATATATTACATATATAAATAAGTGAAAGTAAAACTACTGATTTTATAACATATATATTAAATAGACGAAAACAAATGTAATAATTCCCCTAACAATAACAAAACACTTTAATTTTACAAAACATATATGAAATAGACAAAAATAAATGAAATAATAAAAAAACGCTTAAACAATATATGTACTTATAAAAGAAACACTATAAACAACATATTTACATTTTTTAGTTTATTTATTTTATTTTCACTTCATTTATTTTGGTAGACAAAATAGTTTAATGCTATTTAAAATAGCGAGAAACAGGTCCTCTTTTCTGTGGGCCCGCAGCCACAAAAATTCTCATAAATATAAATTGTGGTGTTGTCTTGCAGTTCCTTTATGTTTCTTATTTCTCTAATTAACTGAGCCCCATAATCGTTCTGTGTGTTGAGTATGGACCCCACTTGATGGATCAACAAAATTATACTGGTGATTCACCTGGAAATGATTATAGTTTGCTTCATTCAGTTGTTGGGTGTTGTATCCTTTCCAACAGTCAGAATAAATGGTGCTTCCCCCTTGTATATTGTTTTTAATACCTTGTAAAGTTGTTGCCTTTCTGTCGTTTATTTTGTCGATAAAACACTTGTCAGTTTCTTGGCAATTTCTGCCAAACATCCATTGCTTAAGTAGAACTCTCCCTACATGATTTTTTCTTTGTCTACTTCAACGACTTTACTAGGCCCTCCAATTTTTTTCAATTCGTTCTCATAATTTCATGTTTGGAATTATCCCAGCTTTTTGAAAATATTCTATAGCCTCTTCTTCTGAAGACAGTAATTCCCAGAATGTAATAACACCCATAATTTGATGAAAATCAAACAAATAGAACAAAAATAAACAATGGAATAACTCAGCTTACATGAGGAACAAAAATACAGACTGGAATAACTCATAGCTCACATGAGATAAGAAGGGAGATTATGTAATGTAACATTAGATAACAATAGAGGTTTCGCCCCGCCCGTCTATCTGGCAAGCACCAAATTAATTATTCTCATACGGTTCGTAAAGATTTTTTTATTCCATACAAATGGCTGGTACCCCCCTTAAGGTAGCCACCTATGAGGCAATTGCCCACATTGCTCAGCTCTAAATCCAACATTGCTAAAAGTTTATATAAAAAATTCATTGTTTGAATAATTGAAGTTCAACTGTAATGTAAAAATTTATAAATCTGTTTTAATCATAAATCACTTACTTTACTACTTAATTATTTAATTCATTATAGAATAATAATTTTCCACTTCTTTCTATTTTAGCTAAAGAAAAAAGAACTAAAAGCAAAAGAAAAAAGGGACAATGCCTTACTAAAGAAATCTAGCTTAGCTATTTCACTTCTACCTGAACATGAAGATGATATAAAATTGGCTTCTCTTCTTAAATTTAAGTCATCTACAAGTAAGAAATAACTTTTGAATATTTTAATCTTTGTTAGATGTTTTAAAAATGGCATTTGGTCGATTTAAAGAAATGTATTCTATTTTAAATTATTAAAGATGATTAAAGAGAAGGATAGTTGATGTTAATGATTGAGAAGGATAATAGTTGGGGTGATCAGTCAAAAATAAAAATAGCAAAAATAAATAATAGTATTTATTTTAACATTTGCTGACGTTTCGACCCGAAGTTCAGGCCTTCATCTGGGCAGAGAAAAGAACCAGATAACAATTAGTATGAGAAACATAAACAATGTAGGTAAAAAAAAAAAAAGAGAAAACTTAAAGTAAAATGAAGAAGATATGTGAACATAAAAGTAAAATAAAGTAGGTAGATTAATGACAGTAACAAGAACTAAGAAATAAATAATAATAACAGTTACAAAATCTAGACTAATGAAGTAAACATAATCAAAATAAGATAACATAAGTACTAAAATGGTAATCTTAGAATAGAATGTAAAACAGAGAAAAGGAATATGAAGTTATATAAGAAATAAAAAAAAAAACCCGCAGGGGCTAGCTGAAATGTGCAGCTAGTGGGGATTGACAATCCTCCGGACCCCGAGTTCAGTACACTGCACTAACACATACACAGAATAGTATACCACACACTTACACTGACACAAGGTCACCTACACTACACATCCTAGGGTCACCTATCTTAAGAAGCCGCCTCGGATGAGAGAGCAGGTCATGATGCTCCAAGGAGGCAGCCCCTCCACCTGACTAGGAGGCAGTGGGCTGATAGCCTACTCCTCTAAAATAAGTCTTTACCACAAACAAACGAAAGATTAGAGCTGGATTGAACTTAAGGAATATGACAAGGCGCGGAAAACGGATTATACGACTTGCTACCTGGAATGTACGGGGTTTGAATGGAAAGGAGTGTGAACTCGTGGACAAAATTAGAAAAGCCAAAGTGGATATACTTGGCATCACCGAAACGAAGAGGAAAGGAAAAGGTGAACTGAAGATCCAGAACTACACTCTTCTGTACTCGAGTGTCAATGAGAGAGCAGCCAGCGGAGTAGGGATCATGTATCATAATGATCTTGCATCAGGAATTAAAAGTTAGAAATTTTGTTGGAAGTGAGCAATCTAATCATGATCCTAAACATTCTTGAGGGGAAAGACATCCATTCTTTGATAGTTGCATATGGGCCAAACGATAGTACAAGAGCAGATGAAAAGTATTCATTTTTCAATTCCCTACAAAAATAAATAGACGACTGTGAGGGTAATCCTATAATTCTTGGAGACCAGAATGGCAGAATGGGCCGCGATAGTGGAAGATGGCCAAAAGTGTTGGGATCTCACAGTTAAGACAATTTAAATGATAATGGGGAACGAATTCTGAATTTATGTGTGGCAAACGACCTGGTGGTAAGTAACACCTTCTTCTCTCATAAACAAAAACATAAATATACTAGAGAGGAACCCAGCAGGAACGAAAGGTCGATCATCGATTATATACTGATTAAGAGGGAAGAGTTCAGAAATGTACAAGATGCCAGGGTGAAGGTGGGCTTCTAAATAGGCAGTGACCACTACCTGTTAATGCTCGATAAAGTTTGGAATGACAGTAAAATGAGGAACAGATGTGTAGGTAGTAAGAACAAAATGATTAAATCATACAGGCTGAAGGAGGATGAAATGGCCCAATACTATCAGGAGTAAGTGGAAAGGATGTCACGAGATATCTACCAATCATGGGATAGCGTTGATATTGAGGAGAGCTGGACAGCATTTAGAAATATCATTCTTGATGCCGCGAGACTCGTCTGTGGTTAAAAGAGCATTGGATCAAATTTCAAGCGAACTGCTTGGTGGACAGAGGATGTAAAGAGAGCTGTTAAGGAGAAGAAAGCAGCTTGGAAAGACTTCATGAGCCAAAGAACACCCATTGCTCACCAAAAGTACAAAGAAAAGAGAAAGGAAACAAAAAGTAAAGTACTTCTGGCCTAGAGGAAATCGTGGGCAGATCTGGGACACAAACTTGAAGAAAACGCAAATGAAAATCAAAAACTAGCAGTATGGATTCAGGAGTCAAAGAAGCACACAGGATCTAGTTTTCACTATGCGACAAATCACAGGGAAGATTGTCGAGAGGAGAAAGGAACTCTCTGTGTGCTTTGTAGATCTCTGCAAAGCCTTTGACCAGGTTAGGAAAAAGGATATAATTGAGGCTCTAGTTGAAAAAGGTGTGAATAATGGACTAATAAGCAGTTTATACGGAAATACGAGGAATCTTGTTACAACAAGAAACCATACCTCTCGAGAGTTCAGAACATCACTGGGCATACGACAGGGTTGTAGCCTGAGCCCACTTCTTTTGGGTACTGGTTCTCGATCTGGCGCTGGAAAAAGCAAAACAGAAGATGCGAAGTTTTCAGTTGGGTCACAGACAGAGATATGCAGCCTACGCTATACTCTCTGCTGGTGTTTGCGGATGACCTCGTCATATTGGCCCAGAATGACCGTGACCTCCAGAAGAACATTAATATCCTAAAGGAAGATTTAAGAGAAATCAATGTGGAAATTAACCCTGAAAAGACAAAATGCATGCGCATTGGAAGAAAACCTCATAGGGTTATGAGGGTCGACGGTGAGATTTTAGAGCAGGTGGAAAGTTTCAAATACTTGGGTGCTTAGCTCAACGAAAATGGATATATTGACGAGGAGGTAAGGCAGAGAATAGGAGCTGCTGGAAGAATGTTCGGCTCTGTTAGGAAAGGCTTTCTGAACCAAAAAGAGGTGACCCAAGGAAACGAAGATGACGGTCTACAGATCAGTATTCCTTCCTATACTGACTTATCCCTCCGAGTTCTGGACACTTACTTCGAAACACAGGAGCCAGATCCAGGCTCTAGAGATGCGATACCTGCGAAAGATGAAGGAAAAGACTAGACGAGACAGAATTCGCAATATTACAATCCGTGCCAATCTCGACGCCAAAGCGGTCGAAACTATAATAGATGAACACAAGTTGAGATGGTTTGGGCACCTTCTCCCTATGGATCGGAACAGAGTTGCAAGGAAAACGTATGAGACTCGCGTGTAGGGTAGGAGACCGAGAGGGAGGCCTGGGAAGAAGGCGTGCGAGATGCATTCCAGAAGCGAGGTTTTGGAATGGAACAGGAGACGAGAGCTGGTACTGGAAAGGTCCACCTGGTTCAAGCTCTACCAGAAGCAACCTCACACTGCATAGGCGGTAAAGAGGAATATGATTATGATGATGATAAGAAATAAATATAAATAGAAAGGTTGAGATATTGTAAATAGAATAGTTAAACATAAAACTGAGATATTGTGCAATCTATCAAAATGTACTGACTACGTATAAGGAAATAAAGAGTTAAAATAAAGTTTAAAAAAATGAAGAAATGTATCAATAAATATAAGGTGGAGATGAAAATATGAAAAATAGAGTGAAAATGAAAAGGAAGGAAGAATAAGATGAGATAGATAGTCAACTGACCCGATCTCTATTGATCGAAGAGATCGCTATTGATTAGGAATGTAACTGTACTGGTGGAGCAGTGACGTGTAACGGTCTCGGTTTGGAACAGTGACAGTCTGCAGTGTAGTATCGATAAGGCCCAACTGTGATAGCTGAACGGTGGAGCAGTGGAGTATCGATAAGGTCCAACTGTGACAGCGGAACAGTGGAGCAGTGGAGTACTGATAAAGCCCAACTGTGACAGTGGAACAGCGGAGCAGTGGAGTATCGATAAGGCCCAACCGTGACAGCGGAACGGTAGAGCAGTGGAGTACTGATAAAGCCCAACTGTGACAGCGGAACGGTGGAGCAGTGGAGTACTGATAAAGCCCAACTGTGAAAGCGGAACGGTGGAGCAGTGGAGTACTGGTAAAGCCCAACTGTGACAGCGAAACGGCTGAGCAGTGGAGTATCGAAAGCCCAACTGTGATAGCTGAACGGTGGAGCTTTAGTGTACTGATAAAGCCCAACTGTGACAGTGGAACGGCGGAGCAGTGGAGTATCAATAAGGTCCAACTGTGACAGCGGAACAGTGGAGCAGTGGAGTACTGATAAAGCCCAACTGTGACAGTGGAACGGCGGAGCAGTGGAGTATCGATAAAGCCCAACTGTGACAGCAGAACGGTGGAGCAGTGGAGTACTGATAAAGCCCAACTGTGACAGTGGAACGGCGGAGCAGTGGAGTATCGATAAGGCCCAACTGTGACAGTCGCAGGAAAGGAGCAGCCAGTGTGTCTGTGAGTAGACTTGCTGCGGCCTGAGTAAAAGGAATTTACTCTATTGCCAAGTATCAAATTGTTAAAAAAAATATTTGAATGGAATTAATCTATTACGAAAATGAATAAATAATAATTAAACACAACTAGAATTTTAATTAAAATTTCAAAATACTATTTTCTCGGCTGTTAATAATACATATTTTCTGTGGAAATTGAAATTCAACAAAACAAATCACATTATAGTTTTAATATTCACAAATATGATTAATGTATACTTATATATATCGGCAGTTTATTATAAATATACGAAGTGTGTATTTGTGTAATTTTTGATCTAGGTTAATTTTCAAATATGATTTTTGTGACTTTACTTTTCGATATAAATTAACTGTAAATTCATGGAAATTACACAAATCTGTGTAATTACGAATACAGTTACAAGCTCACAATTTTCTGATTCCATAAAGGGATTAAGTATTTAAAATAATGAAATGTCTTTTTTGCGATAAACTGACTACTTATTAATTAATTAATGGACAAGAGAACTGTTGGTTAATAAGTATAATATATAACATTAATATATTCATAAATTATATAAGGTTATGGATAAGAAAACTTTTGTCACTGGACCGATAAGGTCCAAGTGAGTGGAACAGGTTGTCACTTTTCCAAACCGAAACTCTGTTACACGTCACTGCTCCACCAGTACGGTCACATCCCTAATCAATAGCGATCAGGTCA